AGTAAGAACAAACAAATATTACTAAAAAAAAAGCTTGAAGGGAAAAGGATGGAGTTAAATTAAATATTCTAAACCAAGAGGAGAAGGAGAACTTAAGTTTGGAATATGGGCTCTCACTCGAATTAAGATCGCATCTTGTTATCCAAATTGGCCTCACTCGAATTAAAGATCATATCCTGCTATCCAAATTGGCCTTATGAAAATAAAAAGTCGAAAAAGGCTTTTAGAGGGGTGTTCCGGCCCATTTATGGTCTATCTCATTATGAAAAGAGGCCCACTGTTTTGGGCTGATTATTTGTTGGAGGCTCAAAATCTTAGGTTCGCCCGGGCCAGGTTTGAAACAGGCTCCATTTTTTTTGCTTCGGGAAGCCGTTTTGTTTCAACTAGTACAAATCCCCGAATGATTTTACCATATTTTTGAGTGTTTAAATTAGCTGTTCAAATATGTTAAAGTAAATAATCGATATCTGATAATTAATATTTACTATTTTTTTTTTTGGTTTCCCGTTCGGTATCCAGGGCTTCGCCCCGACTACTCCGGACTCGACCTGCTGTGGCGCACCAGAATGGTGGGTGGGCCTCCCAACAAAAACTGCTGCATACACAAGGTTTCGAACTCGATACTTTACTTAAGCTGGAACAAGCCGCTTGCCACTTGATCCAACCTCTCGTTGGTAATATTTACTATTATTCATAATGTAAAGTATCTAGTCTATAAAATTAAAATTAACAATTAATAACATTAACGACTTATTAGTTTGAGTAGAAAGAATTCGATTTTTTTTAAATAAGATCTCAAATTCGAGTCTTATAAATAAAGAAACAAACATTAAAAACGCTTATCTCTTAAGATCGGGTTTAATGTGACTACCAAATATCATGAAATTAATAACAAAAAAAATTAACAATTAATAATTGTTTACAAAATATCAAAACAAACACTCCATTTGCTTTCTATGTAAACCTAAAGCCCAATTGGCGCCTGGATTCCCTCTCAATTATCATTTTCAACATACGCTAACACGGAGTTCCGACGGGAAGCATTGAGCATCTACTGAGCTGACTTGATGGGCTTGGATTTGATGAAATCTTTTGGGCCCCTCCACCGGCGGAGATAAGGGGCCTGTGGGGCCAAGGCCCCCTAAACTTTTAAGAAATAAAAACTTTGGTACATTAAATTATATTTTTATTATTTCAATCCTTGTTTATTCCATACATTTTAATCATTTTTTTAACCCTTATTTTTTCAAATATTAGTTTTAGTAACTATGAAAAAAATGAGGAAAATAAAGATAAAATAAAATATAAAAAAATAAATTAATTGAATATAAAATTTTTTAATATCATTCTTTTATAAAATAACTATCAATTAATACTCTTTTTTTATTAATATCCTTTTATTTTTTTATTTATTAATATTTTTCTATTCAATGTTTGTTTATTTCATCTTTTAATTGATGTCTTATATGTAAACTATATTGTCAATTAATATTAATTTATTGTTAAAGATTAATAAATATTAATTTAAAATAAATTTTTTATTAATGTTTTAATTAATGAAAAGACGTTTGATTCTTTTCTGTCAAAATTTTGTTTGTCCCCCATAATAAAATGTTTTTCTGGCTCCGCCACTGGGCCCCTTCGTTGGCCTTTGCTCTCATCAGTTTGTTTAGTTGGAATGTTGGACGAATTGATCTATTCTTTTGTCAAATTAAGGGTGCGTTTGATATTATGGTTGATGATGTTTTTATGTAATCACAATATATTTTTAGGTATATATATTTTATAATT